CAGTCTACTAATCGCACCACAGGCGTACAAAAAGCAGCTCCACCAATACGAACTCAACTTCGGCTTCCGCGAACCCTACCAAGTCCTGCTCGATTCACAGATCCTCCAAGATGCCTACTCCTGCAAGATCGACCTCCTCGCGCGACTCCAGAAGATGCTCGGCGGACAGGTGAAGCCCATGATCACGACGTGCGACATGCGACACCTCTACCTCGCAGAACCCAAGAACGAGACCCTCATATTACAAGCCAAGGAGTACGAACGTCGGCGGTGCAACCATCAAGATTTGGAGAAGCCGCTGAGCACGCTGGAGTGCCTGAGCTCTGTGGTGGATCCCAAGGACAATGCGACAAACAAGCATCGATATGTCGTCGCCGCCAACGACCCAAGCACGCGCGCAAAGATGCGACAGATCGCCGGCGTACCCATCATATACCTGTCCAAGTCTATAGTGCTCATGGAGTCTATGGCTGATGTCACGGAGCAACACCGCGAGCGAGAAGAAAAATCAAAGTTCAAGTTGGGACTCAAGGGACAGCGGAAGCCAGATGCGGCCACGGCCCCGAAGAGGAAACGAGAAGATGAGGGACAAGGTGATCAATCTATTGGAGATCAGGCTACGGGAGACGCAAAGCCCAAGGCAAAGAAGCGCAAGGGCCCCAAGGGACCCAATCCGCTGAGCGTCAAGAAGCCGAAGAACGACAAGACGACCAAGCCCAGTGCTACCAAGAAGTCGCGGCCGTCTACATCTGAGACCAACGGTGGAGACAGTCAGAGGGGCGACCGGGAAGAATCAGCACCTCGTAAGAGGAGGCGGAAGCACAAGTCCAAGGCTGATGATGGCGGCGATGCGCCGGATGGAGGTGAGCCTGCCTCGCCATGATAGCTGGAGCAGGAGAACCTGGTCCAAGTGTGGGCCAACATGCGATACCCGACGTACTGGAGGCTGTCAGGTTTGAGAGCCGAATGGGCGGGACAACCTACCATGATCGTATGTCATGCATAATATAGGTCAATTGGGGCGAGTCCGTTGAAGGGAAAGACTCGCGATGGTAGTCCTATACTCTCTTGCCTTGCGCAAGGAGATCAGAGACCTTAGGCGGAAGAATAAGCGCACTCCGGTCGTTGCGCTTCACAAACTCGACCACGACTTCAGCAGTCTTTTCCGGGAGGTCTTCGTGGAGGAAATGCCCAGCAGCAGGGAAGACCTGGAGTTGAAATTTACCTGTATTACATTAGATACCTCATACAAAAGCGACAAGGCGATAGACATACCTTGCATCTGCCCAATCATCAGTTCCTTATCCAGCCTGTCGGTTCCAGCGAGCAGCAGCAACTTAGCACCCTTTCCGCTGAGGAACTTGCCGCTCATGCCCGTGAACCAGTTTTCCCAGTATGGCTCTGTGCTCGCGAGCTCCGTCCGCCATGCCCATCGCCCATCCGAGTTCTGTAGTAGCAGGCTTGGTACGCTTGCTCGCGCTGACTGGGGGTTGCGTATCGTTCGTGATCGGATGTGCCACTCGATAGCAGCAGGAAGCGAAGGGAACGACTTGGGCCTACTCGCAAGGTAAGTGTGCATATGTGCCAGTGTTTCCATGGCCGAGCCTTCGACAACATCAAGCACTCCAAAGCCCAGCAGCTTGTTTCCTAGTAAGCCCTTGTTCGCAGCGTCGGTGACGACTGCACCACCCAGACTGTGTCCTATCAACACAATCTGTGGGAGCTCTTTCCAGTTCATCTTGCTCTTGGTCAGCGACAGCATGTCGACCAAATCTTGACTGAGCTGCCCAATGCTCAGGTCGTTGTCCACTTCTCCACTAGCGTTCCATACTACACTTCCGTGGTCGCGTGCTTCGACAGCTAGGATCCCAATTTCTGGCATGGCCCTGCGAATCTCCTTGGCTGCCAGCGCAAAGGACATTGCTGAGCTCCCAGCGCCATGGTGGAGCACGACCAAGGGTGCTTTCGCTGTCGCCGGCGGTGTGAGGTATACATGAAACTTGGCATGCCCTGACCCATCCCTGCGCTGTTCAAGATAGAACTCCTGGGCGTAGTAGTCGGACCAATGTATTGCGGGGGCGGGTCTTAGTGTATTTGACGGTCTGACAGTACCGGTGCTAGACATTGACGATGCCGAAGACGAGTCATCTTCGTACTCGGGAGGCTCCTCCTGCAAGGGCTCCGGCGGTGGCAGGGAAGAAAGTTTAGTCTTTGCGAACTCTCTAGCCAAGCTGGACATGGTGGCTTGGGCGAGGCTGTATTTGTGTCGAAAAATCAGGGTTTCGTGAGCGTGGAGATCCGCCCGTCAGTGATTGGCCGCTAGCTTCTCTCGAGCGTTCCAATATGTCGTGGCCTGGAGGCGTGAGGGGAATTGACGCAGGCGGGGTGCTATCAGATAGACGGCAGGGATAAAGGCCAATGTCTTAGCGAGAGGCCGTTCGAGGCAAAAAGAGATGCATCGTGAAGCCCGTTTCGCAATCCAATGACGCAGCGGCGTTAGACGACAGTGAGATGCGGCACGAGGCTGGGCGGTACCGTGGAGATGGTTGGTACGTGGTAGGGATCGCTTGGAGGTTTCCGCGGGACGATCTAGCCTTCTGATGTGCGCTAGTCGCGAACTTGGATGAACTGTGATGATGACGTCGGTCGATCTTTGGCTTAGCGCGTCAAGCATAAGTAAAACCTCGGGCTCCACGCCCCCGGTCGCCTTCCTGGAAGCTTCACGAGCTTTGAATAGCTCCAATCTTTTCCAATCTCTCCTGGGACCCCTACGGATCCTTGCACATCACCGATAAGTGTTATCAACCGCTCAGACTACCATATCGCAGGTGTTTGTAGCTCCAAGAGCTCCCAATGCCCAGCATGTGGAAAGGAAACGACAACGACAATGGCGGCCAGGGTCTTCTGTCAGCTCAGGAACCCACACCCATTTCCAACGACGATGGAGCGTCGAGGTCCTCGCGCAGAAGTAATGGGGCGTCGAGAAGAAGCGAAGAGCCCACTGAGAGGACCCGTCTTCTCGACCGTCCTAGGCCACCACCCAACTCAGATGGCTACCTCGATCCAGATGACCCAGCTGTAAGTTGTTCGAGGTTCTTATCAATATTTATCTAACCATGGCAGGTGTCACCATACAACCTGTGGACTGTTCGCGCCATGCGATACTTGACCATCCTCTTCCTCGTAGTCACCTTCTTGTGGTGGGTGCTTTTGCTGGTCTCCATCTTCGTCTCCCCTCCTGGCCTACACACTCGTGGATCCGGCTTCTTCGACTTCGCCTACACATGTCTCACCCTTGGCAACCTTCTCGTCGCAACCATCTTCTTCGTTACTCCTGCCAGAGGTCTGCGCATCACCACGGCCATCATCGCTGGACTTCTAGCTATCGACATGATCCTCATCTTGGCCATTCCTCGCATCAGGCTCGAGGAAGGTTGGGTCGGTATCGCAAGTGTTGTCTGGGCTTTCGTCATGGCTGTTTGGTGCATTCTGACCGATCGTGTTGTTGCATACGGCAAGCACGAAGAGGAGGAACGTCTTACTGGCCGAGCCGAGACGCGTCGCACACTGAAGGAATGGCTTGCTGTTACCGTCGCTACGATTCTTACCGTCATTTTCATCGTCATCGTCATCTTGATGACTGGAACCCTCGGCATGCGTGGCCGCGACGCAACACTCAAGATGTATGGTGAACGCATCCTCGTAGACGGCGACAAGTACGCCGTTCATCTCGCCTGCGTCGGAAACGTAACCCAGACCCACGGCGTCAACGACCCTACCATCCTCCTCGAGGCGGGCGAATCGCCATTGGAGTACGACTTCGAGCACTGGGCCTACGCAGCTTACAAGAACGGTACCATCTCCCGCTACTGCTACTGGGACCGCCCCGGCTATGCTTTCTCTGACAACGCACCCTCCCCACATTCGGCCGGCATGTCCGCGGACGCATTCTCGGAAGCTCTTGCTAAGGCTGGAGAAGAGGGCCCTTATATTCTCGTCTCTGCGGGTACTGGCAGCATCGTCTCTCGTATCTTCAGCTCGCGTCACCTGAAGCAGGTTGTTGGCATCATGATGATCGACCCTCTCCACGAGGATCTTCTGCACCGCATCGGTGGTCCCGGCCGTGGTTTCATTCTCTGGGCTTGGGGTATCATCTCACCAATCGGTACTGTCCGTCTCGCAGGCGCGCTCTTCAAGGGTCGCACTCGTGAAGACCGTGTTTACGGCCGCAACGCGTACCAATCGGGCAAATACATCAAGGCGCAGCTCCAGGAGAACCTTGTCGCTGACAGCCTGACCAAGAACGAGGTCTCGTCTGCTAGGAACATTCAGAGCGCCAACACCCCACTCGTCGTCGTTTCCAGTGGTATCAAGGTCAAGACAGACTCTGAGTGGGAGCGAAAGCAGAAGGATCTGACTACTCTCACTGACAACCTCGTCAGCTGGGACATTGTCAACAAGGCACCTCATCAGGTCTGGGACACGCTCGACGGACGCACTGTGATGGAGAAGCGCCTCAAGCAGCTCGTCAAGGCTGCCGCTAAAGTCAAGAGCGAGGCTGAGGAGTAAAAGCATTTACCCATTGCAGCAAGATGCTCTTTGATAGCTTGGACGGGCTATCGCATGTTAGCGATACAATTTCGGAAAACTCTTCTCCTTTCAAAGTTGATGCTTCATCTCTATTGTGTTATGGGCTTTCCTTGGCATACCCTATGGCGTTGCATGGTTAGGTTTCTTGTCTTCTTTACATGTAGCACGAGCACATATCAGATACTAGTCTAATGTCTAAGATCATGTTCAATGACCGCAATTCCATTGATGTAGTCGCCACAATAGGTCATAAGCTAGACAGCTGATCCGTGAAAAGTAGCTGAGAGTCTTCAGCGTAGTTCATGTATGATCAACGAGACAGAATTACATGAACGTATTCTGCAATGCATACCGATCGATCAACTCTGTATACTCACACTCTCTTCTAAATACATACCCTAATCAACACCATGACTCGCACGGCCGGTCCTTGGTGTTTACGCAGCTCACTGCCACCGCCGCCGACTCTGTACGCCCCGGCCGAAAAGGCCTCTTGCGCTACGCCCCAGCCCACGTACTCTGACCAAGAGAACAGTGTGCCCGCGGGTCTGGTACGTTGCGAGGATATCGCCTCGGGAACACACTGCTGACATGCAACAGTTGCCTGCGGTCCTGTCGCCGCGTCGTGCCCGGCGAGAGCCTCTGGCCGTCAGGGAATCCTCCACCGCAGCCGCCAATGTGGACGACATGGCGTGGCTCGCTCAGCCAGACGAATCCCCAGTGCCGTCGCTCGGTCTGCGCCGCGGACCCGAGTATGTGGCTCCTCATCTGCGCCCTCGACGTGTGGGCAAGGGCAATGAGGTGGTCGTCTACGAGCCGCCTGCTCTCGCCGGCCCAGGCCCGATGGTCCTCCGTAGCGAGTCTCACCGCATATCGTACGTGCTTCCTGTCTTGCCGTCGAACAGAGCCGCCTGTACTAACCAGCCTCCTAGCAGTACGACGGCACCCCGGCGGCGCAAGCCTCGCAAGAGGAAGACGGCCTGGCCCAAGGCCAGTGAGATGAAGGCCATTCCTGGCTTCGACGATGTCGACAACCTGCTCACCACCGCGGTAGAGGGTCTCGCCAACGACACGACCGATCTGCGCCCCGCGAGGGACGACCACTGGCGGCCCAACCCCGAGACCTGGCCAGTCCACGCCCACTCCACCGCCACCGAATGGGAACAGCGCATTGCGCGGTGGCGAGACGGCCAGCCCCTTGAGTGCACGCAGTCTGGCTCGGTCTCCCTCTCCGCCAACAGCTTCCGCGAGGGCAAGGAGCTGGCACCCCGCTACTGGGTTGACGCTCCGAGCGAACCTTGGAAGGCCACCCAGCGCAAGGAGCCGGGTCATGGAGTGCGTTGGATGCGCCCGAGGAAGACACCGCCCCGCCTGTGCCTTGGTGGGATCGATATGAAGACGAAGAGGCTCCCCACGGCCATGGGCTTGCGCCGGTGTTTCTTCGCACTCTGCCGGTTCCTGACGCACGAGTCGACTCGGAAGAGGACCGCTGGCCTGGTGTGTCTTTGAAGCTTGCGTCCGCCGAGGCCAAGGTTGCGGCCAGACAGCAGCGCATCCAAGAGGAGCGGCGCCAGATCCTGGCGCGACGGAGCCGTCCTGTTGCCGAAACCGCGATGCCAGAACCCTACTCCGTATCTCGCCAACTTCACCCCGAAGGCGACATCCATGTCCGGCCCGTCTAGGCAGCAGACACTGTCGGCATCTTGTTATGTTGTACCCAGCCGACTCCCATGGAAGACGTGCCTCTTGCTAACACGAGCGATAGGAGATTTACATTCATCTTGTTCGTGTAAAGCTCTACACACATGCCATCCCTCCCATCTACCTCCTTCCAAACTTCTTCTTCCCAACAACCGGTCTCTTAACCACCCCATCCACATCCGCCTCTTTCTTCTTCACCACACCCACCTTCTTAACCACAGGCCCATTCTCCTCCTCCGCAATCCTCCTATCCTCATTCGCCTTGTCAGCCGCCATCTGCGCCTCCAGCTCAGCTTTCCTGTTGAACTCCGTTTCCATGATACGCTTATCCCTCGCTGAATACCCTTTTTCTTTGATGCTGTAGAAAACCGCGCCCATGTCTGCGAGCCAGTGTGGATCCACAGATGTGACACACGACATGTACTCTTTACTTGTGAGGATGAGTTCGTGATATACGACGTAGTCGGGCAAGTAGCCCAGACCGTACAGAGCAGACGTAGGGTGGAGTTGGATGGTAACGCTAGTGCGCAGGTTGATGTACTCGCCTATACCTTTCACTTTGGCGGCTTGGTGGTAGTAGCCTGAGCAGATGCATTTACGGATAACGTCCCAATCGGTACCACATGAGACGAGCTTCATCTTCTGCTTGGACATGATGTCGTAGATCTGGTCGCGGATTTCCTTTGCGCGGCGCAGCGCTTTGGGGTGCAGGAAGTGGCGGATGCACCAGCCGTCAGAGTAGCCGTTTACTTTCCATTGCGTGTAGACGTGTAGGAGGGTGAGGTGGTCAGACTCTGGGACGAAGAACTTCTCGCGCGCGGCGTCGGATTCTTCTTGGCGTTCTTTCGGGCGGTAGAAGACTGAGGGAACCGAGAGCATGGCGACGATTGTAAGCATTTCTTCACTGCATTCCATTTCTGTGGCAGTGATGATGAGTTTGGCGAGCGAGGGGTCCATGGGGAAAGCGGTCATGGTGCGGCCGAGTTCAGTGAGGTTGCCGATGTTGTCGAGGGCGCCGAGGGCCCAGAGATCGAAGAGAGAAGTTGTTATTGTATCTTGGGGTGGCGGGTCCATGAAGTCGAAGTCTAGCAAGTCTCGTACGCCGAGGGATTTGAGGAGAAGAACCGTATTGGCGAGGTTTGTCCGTTGGATCTCTGGGATGGTCTGAATGTAGAATTCATCCCTGAAAGCTCTCTCGGTGTACAAATGGAAACACTTTCCAGGTCCAGTACGTCCAGCGCGACCAGCACGTTGGGAGGCATTGGCCTGTGAGATGGGTGTGATCTGGAGCGTGTCCATACCCATCTTCGGGTTGTAAACCTTGAGCTTAGAAAATCCAGCATCCACCACATACATGATGCCGTCCACTGTCAAACTCGTTTCTGCAATGTTGGTGGCCACGATGACCTTGCGTACGCCAGGGGCTGCTCTGTCGAAGATCTTTGCTTGCAGATCAGCAGGCATCTGACTGTAGATTGGAAGAATGCTGAGTTTTGGCGGGTCGTTGAGAAGTTTCAGCCTTTCGGCGACCAGTTCGCATGTGATTTCAATGTCTTCCTGACCCGTCATGAAGACCAGAATATCGCCAGGCCCCTGGGAGACATGTATGGCGAGCACCTGCTTGACTGCGCTGTCGACATAGTCCTCGCATGGGGACCGCGAGTATTGGATGTCAACTGGAAATGTTCGCCCTGGAATTATGAACTCGGGAGCTCCTCCGTAGAAGCGCGAGAATCGTTCCGAGTTCATGGTAGCTGATGTGACGATTAGCTTGAGGTCTCTTCTGCGTGCCAGCACTTTTTTGAGAAGTCCCATCAGTACGTCGGTGTTCAAAGCTCTCTCGTGGGCCTCGTCCATGATGATGCAGGAGTATTTGTCCAGGTCCGGTTCCACCAATGACTCTCGGAGTAACACACCATCCGTCATGTACTTGATCTTGGTCTCCTTGCTGGTGCAGTCTTCGAAACGAATGGCATATCCGACCTGTCCACCAAGTTTCACCTCCATCTCTTCACTTACACGTTTCGCAACACTCATGGCTGCGACACGACGAGGCTGCGTGCATCCGATCAGCCCTTGTTTTGCGTACCCGTCCTCAAAAAGGAACTGGGTCAGTTGGGTCGTCTTTCCAGAACCCGTCTGACCGACCACGATAACGACTTGGTTGTCTCGAATAACGCGTAGGAGGTCTTCCCGGACTGCAAAGGCGGGAAGATATTGTCTCTGCTCTCTAAGCGTCTTGCTCTTACTGAAAGCACTCGCACCCTCTTGTTTGCTGAGATGCTGCGCAAACTTGCTGCCGCCCTGCTTCTCCTCGTCTTCTGGGCCTGGGGCAGCACTATCCGTGTCTTCTTCTTTGACCCCCATGATGTTTCCCAGCGTGGTTCCCTTCGCACTGGTAGCCTCCTGTGTCTGTTTCGCGCGCTCTTTCTGTTGACGTTTCTCCTTTACAACGCGGCTACCACGCCGACTGAAAACAGCCATATCGCTTTGCGGATCGCGTACGGCCGGAACGGGGTCGATTTGCTTGGTGAAGACAGTCTTTCCGTCCAGAAACGGAGGCTTCAAATCGTGCACAAGAATATGCACCCGCATCGCGTCCTCCTCGTCATCGAAGTCGTCGTCAAGGTGTCTCCTCTGGGCCACTCCAGACTGCAACATGCGGTTGGTTTCCCAAGCATCGACATCCTTCTGCTTCTGTTGCGCGCGCATACTTGCTCGGTTATTCTGTTTCTTCTCCGTCATAGCAGCCTCTCGTTGTGCATCCAGCCATGTGCTCTCGGCACCACCAAAGGGGTTGTGGGTATCGTCTCCGAAGGTGTGTCCATTCTCCTCACCGCCGTACCAGTCGCGATCCAGCGCCATGGAATCGAAGTCCTCCACCAGAGGTTCTGACCCTTCCAAAGGGCGCTGCGATGGGTTTGCGCCATTATCGCGTGAGTTTGTATGCCGGGCAGAGGCAGGCTGGTTGGGCTTGCGAAACTTGGGACGGGGCGCGATGGAGTATTCTTCAGGGTCGAGCTTGCGCCGTTTTGGGCTGTGACCACGTTCCATAGTGACCGAGGTGCCGGGGACGCTTGTAGACGAGGCAGAGTGAGTGAGCGTATGGAGGGAGGGCGATGGCTGGGGTCGTAGCTTGAGGGTTGAGAGGCCGAGAAAGTTGATGCTCTCTCTCGGGAGTCCGCAATTGTCGCTATCGATAAGGACGAGCTTCAGCCAATCGTTGCGGGGCGCCCAAAATTATTTCCAACCTTTTGAAAAAGTTCCCCACGCGACTTGCGCTCTCACTGCGCATTTTACTTTACACTACCAGCGCAATGTCTATGATCACAGCGACGACGTGGGTGCCGCGCGGCTATGCGGCGCCCTTTCCTTCACGGTACCAGTTCGACGAGGACGAGTACGAGCGCATATCCAAGCTGGCAAACCTCCAACTCGAGGATGCCAAGGAAGATCTCGAGGAAGCGCAAGCCGAAGAAAGGAGCAAGAACGGAACTTCGACCAAGGCTTCCAAGAAGGACGATGAGTGCGTGCACTCAATAAATAGACTGCCTCAAAGACTAACGACTGGAAAGGGACGACGATGACGACCTCAAGGAATACGACCTCGAGCACTATGACGACGATGTTGCTGAAGACCGCGGCGATACCATGGCCATGTTCGGCAACGCGAAGAACTTGGTTTTCCACGAGAACGACGAGGACGACCCGTACATCACGATGAAGGCTGGAGAGGAATCAGATGACGAAGAGCGTGAGGAGCTTCAAATTCTGGCTACAGACAACTTGGTTCTGGCTGGTCGCATAGAAGACGAAGTCGCGCATCTTGAAGTCTACGTATACGAAGACGAGGACGACAATCTCTACGTGCACCACGACATCATGCTGCCCGCAATCCCACTTGCCGTCGAATGGTTAGATCTGCCAGTAGGCAAGTCAGTAGGCACAAGTGAGGGTAGGGGAAACTACGTCGCGGTTGGAACCATGGATCCTGATATCGAGATCTGGAACCTGGATGTGGTAGACAGCATGTATCCAGATGCAGTACTTGGACAAGGCGCCGAGGACGCAAAGGCAGACAAGCCCAAAAAGAAGAAGAAGAAGTCGAAGAAGGCCAACGACGAGTTCCACGTCGATTCAGTCCTCTCACTGGCAGCCAACCGACAACACCGAAACTTCCTCGCTTCGTCATCAGCAGACAAGACTATCAAGCTGTGGGACTTGAACACGACAAAGTGTGCCAAGTCATACACGTACCACACAGACAAGGTCTGCTCCGTAGCCTGGCATCCCGTCGAGGCCACTGCTCTTCTCAGTGGTAGCTACGACAGGACTGTGGTGGCAGCCGATGTGCGCGCACCCGATGCAAAGGCGCCACGATGGGGTGTTGAGAGTGATGTCGAGACTGTGCGGTGGAATCCTCACGACCCCAACTACTTCTACGTAAGTGTGGCAGCACCAGCTTGATCACGTCGTACTAACAGCCTCAGGTCTCTACTGAGAATGGTATGATACACTACCACGACGTCCGCAACGCGCCAAAAGACCCCTCTGCCTCAAAACCAGTCTGGGTACTACAAGCTCATGACGAATCCATCTCTTCATTTGATATTAACCCAGTGATACCCGGTTACCTGGTCACAGGCTCCACAGACAAGCAAGTAAAACTGTGGAACATTCAAGACAACGGTCCCAGCATGGTTGTATCGCGGGATCTCGGTGTTGGGCGAGTATTCTCAACATCTTTTGCACCCGATAAAGAGGTGGGTTTCCGCCTTGCCGTCGCAGGTAGCAAAGGTGCAGTCCAG